CGCGGTCCTCGTTCCTTCTCCCCCTCCTCCTCGTCCTCCTATTCTCCCTTTGGGAGGGCGGCGCGAGAGCGCGAAGTTATTCGCGCTTCGCGCAGCGCGAAGCGCGAAGTTGGGAGCCCTAGGTGAAGCGAAGTCTTGGCCGGACTCCTGGGCGGTCGCGTGCTCCCGCCCGCGACGTGAAGACGCCCAGCGGGATCTTACCAGCCTGGAACATATCCCATGGGCCTGTTTTCCACCACCACCACCGTAAGTTGGAGGGGAAAGGAGGAGGAGGAGGAGAGGGAGGAGGACCCCCTCCCCCTCCAACTTATGGTGGTGGTGGTGGAAAACATGCCCACCAATCCCTATCTATCTTACGGTAGGTTTGCGCCGTGTCGACCAGCGGCGACCCCAGCGCGGACGTTCAAGGTTGAACGCCGCCGGCGACCCAGAATCGATCGATGCTGAACGATCGGACGTTGCGGCAGCGGCCGATCGTTCAAGGTTGAACGATCCAGCGCGGTGTCAAAAACCAACGCTGGGGTCGGCACGACACGAACCTGCCGTACCAGCCTGGAACATATCCCTATCCCTCTGCTGGGCACCTCCTCATCACGATGCCAATCTTAGAGAGATTCCCTTCTTTTCTGAGGGCGAGTCCCTGAGATTGTCATAGCCTTCTGGCGTGTCAATCTTAGGGATAGGGGTACGTTCGAGGCTGGTAAGGATCGCCAGGCGTGTGGGCGCCCGCGCGAGAGGGAGAGGCGCCCCTGCCCGACGCCCTCCGGTCCGCATCGGGCGGCTCCTGCTGGGTCAACGTCAGCACGGCGGCGCGCCTGTTTTGCCAGCGGGCGGCTCCCAGATCGTGGCCGGGGCGTCGTGAAGTCGGAGAGGTCGAGCCAAGTTTCCGCGCACTTGTGCGCGAGGCCAGGCGGCTTGATGCTCATTTCTCCCTCCACCTTCGCGCTGGCAGACGTACCTTGAGCCTTGCAGTATGCGGAGTGCTAGACGGAAAGTTTGAGGCATGTGTAGGTCGAGCTGAGTTTACGACCCCCTGTGCGAGAGGAGCCCCCCTCGCGAGGACCGTGATAGTTGTCGGCACATGTGGCGAGTCACGCCCACACTGCACACAACAAATCCGCAGATACCATCTATACACCACCACCGTGCCTGGCCAGGGCCACCCTGGGCTCCACGATGGTGTATTGACCCTTCTGGCTTCGCCAGGTTGCGTATACACCGTGCCAGGGCCAAGGATGGTCCTGGCCAGGAAGGGTGGTGGTGTATGGACGTTTTCTGCGTAAACAGCAGGAGAATGGATGGTCGGTGGGGGTGGGGCTCGGGTGCCGCCACCTGTTCACGTCTGCCTTCAACGAGCTCTTTGTGGAGAGTCCCGCATCCCGCCCGTGCGCGACCCGTCGCGCGCGAGCGCCCTCCCTTCGCCAGGCGGGGGCACGCGCCAGTCCCGAGAGAACGTTTCTGTTGTATCCTCTTGCGCGTAACGGTTTTTATCCCCGAGCCGGATTTCGATGTATCCCCCCACCCTTTTTGGGAAAGGGTAGCGATGGTACGTAGTGATGGGGGGGTGTTTGGACCCCCCCGTACACAAACACACACACACATATTCACATTCGTACTCGTATTCACATTCACATGCACATGCACATGCACATTCACATTCACATTCACAGTCACACGCACACACACACACACACACACACACACACACACACACACACACACACACACACACACACACACACACACACACACACACACACACACACACGCACACACACACACGCACGCACGCACGCACGCACGCACGCACGCACGCACACACACACAACACACACACCACCACACACACACACACACACACACACACCACACGCACACACGCACGCACGCACGCACACACACACACACACACACAGACACACACAGACACACACAGACACACACAGACACACACACAGACACACACAGACACACACAGACACACACAGACACACACAGACACACACAGACACACACAGACACACACACAGGCACACACACACACAGGCACACACACAGGCACACACAGACACACAGACACACAGACACACACACACACACCACGGCGCTAAGAACCGTTACCCGAAATACGAAACAAATCTCCAGTCTATATTCAGTGGTCCCAGCAGTGGCTCTTATGCTATGTGGGGGGAGGGGGGGGGAGAGTAGGCGGGGCTCGCTGACCTCGCTCCAGCTGGTTAGCCTGGCTCCTACTCCTGCTCTCTCTCCTCCTTCTCCTGCTATTCCTGCTCCGCCTTCTCCGCTTCCTCTCCTCTTCTTCTCTTCTTCCTCTTTTGTTCTCTTCTCGCCCCTCCCCTCTCCTTCTCTCCTAGACACTTGCCCGACGGCATCTTCTTGATGGCACCTGCCCTCCTATTGCACCCTCACCCCTCTCGAGGCGAATGCAGTATTTTGAGGCGTCGCTGCCCAAACCAGCCAGTTCGTTCATGCATGTCCCTCGCTCCTCCTATAATTTCCCGTATCCTGCCTGCTCCTCCGAGGGGAGGGGAGGCACAGCTTTCCCTCCTCACTCCTCTCCCTCCACTCCCCCTCCTCTCCCTGCCTTCCCCCTCTCACCCCCTCCTCCTCCACCTCCTTCTTTTTGTTTAACGTTAGGCCAACCTGAGGTTCCCCTGTGGCGTTTTTGAAGTGCCAAAAAAAGAAGCAATCGAGCGTACGACTTGGGTCAAGGTGCACCTGGCGGGCGCAGCGGAACATGACAGAAGTAAAGGCGAGGATGGGAATCGTAAAAAGAGTAGGCGCTCGCCAGGTCCTCGAGGTCGGCACTAACTTTACAGTCGGCCCGGATTAGTAGGTCGACCCTGACAAATCGATTGTATTTTTGTGTCCTGTGTCTCGCGACCCGTGCCTCGTGCATTCCTACGGCAGTGTGGCCCTCGGAAGGGTCTTTTGTCCTCTCGCGTGTCTTGTCCAATGAAGTCCGATTGTAGTACCACGCACCTCCAACCAGAAAATAAAAACTAAGCCCCCAATTGTTCAGCGGTAGTGCCTCATCGGATTGCAAGCAGCAGCACTTAGAGAATGCAGAGAATGACGCAGTGTAAGCGACAGTCTCACTGTCAGTTTTTCTGTATATGCGCCGTCTGGTGGCACCGTAAACAGGCAAACGAGAAAATAGTTGGCTGTGGCGGTCACCGTGATGGAGAGAGGAGGGTCAGATCTAATAACAAGGAGAAACGAGCATGAGTGTGGTTGTGTAGAGATAGCTGTGCCAAGCACAGTGCTGCTGCAAGAGAATGCAGTATGTACCCCACAACGGGCGCGTGGGCAGATTGCTCACGTGTCCACGGCTGGGGAGCAAACAAAGCTGAAGTGTAAGCCCTTCTCCGTTTTTCATGAAACGATTCGGTTGGTATTCGGAGGCGGTAGCTGTGGTACGGGCTAAGTGTGGCACAAGCGAAAAGAGTCCCAGCGTGTGCAGATACAGGCTTGGCTTGTGCCCTGGTGAGACCTCCTCCTCAGTGGACAGCGCGAGACCCCTGGCAGATGAGCTAAGGACCCTCTGCCAGCCCGTCGCACTTCAAGACGGTCTCCGTGTCCTCCCCCGTGGGCCCTCCGGACGCCGTGTGTGGTAGCTCGGGCGCGGGAGGCTTCCCCCCGCCCGGGCAGCCTCACCAGAGCATCCGTGCCCGAGGATGCGAACAGTGCCCCATGGCCCACCCCAGCCCAGCCTGGCCCTTCTCCCCCTCCTCCCTCCTTCCCCTCCTCTGCCTTCCCCTGGCCCAAGAGGGCCGTTGGGGAGAGGGCTCTCCCATCGGCCCGCCGACGTCACGACTTGATCGCGACGTGGGCCACACACGGGCTCTAGCAGGCCAAAACGTTGAAACATCGTTCGTCTTTTCGATTTGCGACGCCAGGATCTGGCGGCATGGTTTCGGAAGCCTGGAACCTAGAGGTTGGCACCAACAGTAACTGGCGGCTGTCTCCACCGAGGGAAGATGAACCCCGTCGTAGCGATGCTGGTAGTAATATTCGGGTTTCGCACATGGCCATAGTATCGCCACCAGCACCAACATCTGGGATCATCTTTCCTCGGTTTACGCATCCCCCCCTTCTCTGTGCTGGTGACAGTTTCCCCAGTTCACCCCCGGGGGCGCCAAGACAATCGAACATCGCGCATCGCGGCATGGGTTGGAGAGGCGCCCTTCTCCAGGGCGGTGGCGCGAGGGCGCGAAGATAGCCGCGCGTCGCGCACTGGGGGGCGCGATGCGCGAAGTTAGGTGACCAACAGTCAAACTCCATCGGTAGGAGGCGCTGCATCACCAAGGCTACCCTTGCATCCCACGCTTTTTCGGCCCATCCCGAGCCACTGTTGACGTCCAAGGAGCTCTAAATGGCAAACGGGACTCTTCCAAGGCTCCTGCATTCTCAACTCGCGTCCTTACTGCAACGGGGAAACCCATGCCCAGAAACACCCTGCTTGCCTCCAGGGTGTCCTGGGTTTCTTGGGTTTCGATGTTTTTTGTTGCGATGGACAGCGTGACGTTCCCACACCAAAAATTAAAGGACGCCCTGTTGTCTCAGGTTTGGGTTTCTTGTGGAATGCTTCTCGTGGTCGAGCTCCTACTGTATGGACTTTGCCTGTAGCTACCAGGCCTCCAGTGATGCCGGGCTGGTCGCCCCTCCCCTGGGGAGGCGTCCTTCCCAGGCTCGAAGCCGCACCTCCCCCCGATTTGGCCGCGAGCCTTTTTTGGACGGAGGAGGAGGAGGAGGAGGAGGAGGAGGAGGAGGAGGAGGAGGAGGCGGAGGAGGAGGAGGAGGAGGAGGAGGAGGAGGAGGAGGACGCTGCCCTCCTTGGGTTCCCTCCCCCCCCTCTCCCAGAGGAGGTTCTCGCCGACGGGCGCTCCGCTGCGGCGGGCCCCGGCCCCTCCTCGCCGGGCCCCGGCCCCTCCTCGGCGGGCCCCGCCCGGCCCCTCCTCTGCCCGCGCCGCCGCCGGGAGGCCGCGGAGCATCCTGCGGCCGCCGCCGCTCGGCCCGCGGCCGTGGACGCGGGGGCTCTCGGCCCCGCGACCCGCCCGGGGGGGGGGGGGCCTCGAGTCTTTCGGGGGCCACGCTCAGGAGGGAAAGAAACGCACAGGCACAATTCATCGGCGATTCCCCAGAAAATAGGGGGGAAGATGGGAAGTGGGGGGGGGGGAGACAGAACCCCAGAAAATGTAAGAAAATATGGGGGATCTTTTGATTTGTGTGTATTTATTTGTGTGTCCTGGGGCCCCTTTACACACGCGAACCCTACCCCTACCCCCCACGATTTCTGAGGGGGAGGGTGGGGTTCACTTCATTCGGGAGCTCCCGAGCGAAGTGAGCCCCACACTCCCCCTCAGAAATCGCGGGGGGGGGGTAGGGTTCGCATGTGGCCCCCTAGCCTTCCCTCTTGGGGTCGAAGTAGATGGTGATGGTTTTCTTATTCGTTGTTTTGCCGAGCGGCGCGGGCCCTCGCACCCCTCCAATCCCCCCCCCCCATGGAGCAGATCTTGGCTGTGTTTGGCGCCTCTTTCGAGCAGGTGGAGTCTCCCCCACAATACGCGAATTAAGCAGAGGTCCAGAGACAGACCCCCCCCTCACCCCCCATTCCGCCCAATGTCGAAACGCCAAAGAAGAAGTCGTTCACATGTAGGGGAACAAACAACGACATACGCATAAACACTCGGAGGTCCGCGCGGATTTCTTGCATCGGCGCCTGGGTCCCCCTGGCGGCGCCTGCGGCGCCGCACGCTAGGGAGGGGGTCCAGCGCGGATCAAAAAATCCGCGCGGGCCGTCGAAAGTTTAATGTTGATGCCGTTTATTGTTTCCTTCTAGATGGGGCGGAGGATCACACAGCAACGCCGATGTCATCTACGCCGATGCATTGCCGACCTTGGCGATGCGTCGGCGATGCGGCGCGATCCTCCGACCCTTAGGACTTACGAGGTCTCCAGGGGCGAGGTCTCGGAGGAGCGGTGCGGCTGCGCGTGAGAGTGGCCCTTCGCCAGCGTGACTTCTCGGGTGCGGGCCCACAGGGGTCCTTCAACCATTGGCTGGCGCGCGCGGATTCGGGCCCTCCGCGGCCACCGAGAGCCGCGCACCAGAGGCCATGCTTGCCTGGGGTCGCCTAGGTCACCCCAGGGGCGCGGAGACAGTCACGGTTCGCGCGTCGCGGTCCGGGCCAGAGCAGGTGCCCCTCTCCCCGGTGGCGGCGCGAGGGCGCGAGGGCACGCAGACATCCGCGCGTCGCGCATCGCGGGACGAGCTGCGCGAAGTTGGGTGACCTGGCTCACAGCCGCTGGGCGTGCGCGCTCGGAGTTGGGCTCTCCGCGGCCAGCGAGAGCCGCGCACCGGAGGCCACTCATTGCCTGGGATCGCTCTCGCGTGCAGCCCACGGGTGCGTCTGCAGCGCGAGCGCGAGCGCGCTCCAGGGTTGCAGACTCCTGGCGGCCTCTTGCGGAGGGCGCCAACTGTACACCGATCCTGGGTCGGTGTGTGCATGCCTTACTGGCCTGTGTGAGGAGGGCGCATACACCGACCCTGAGCCCAGGATGGACTTTGCCAGGATCGCTGTGAGTGCATGGTTAGTGCCCTCCTGAGGGGGTCCCGGTTTGCCTGGCGACCTCTGGATTCGCGCAGCGGCTGAGGCCGAGTCGTGTCAAGATATGTGGTCGCGTTCCCCTCCTCCTCCTCCTCCTCCTCCTCCTCCTCCTCCTCCTCCTCCTCCTCCTCCTCCTCCTCCTCCTCCTCCTCCCCCTCCTTAGAGCCTCGAGCTGCGGACACTGTCGAACGATCGCCCCGATGACCTCGCCTCCTCCTCCTCCTCCTCCTCCTCCTCCTCCTCCTCCTCCTCCTCCTCCTCCTCCTGCTCCTCCTCGAGTCGTCGGCGCCCTCCTGGTCTGAAGCCCCCGCCCTCAGACAGCAGGCACAACTCTCTGGCCAGGCTCGGAGAGGCTGCCCCTCTTCAGGGCGGGCGGCACGGGGGGGCGGCGGCGCGAAGGCAACCGCGCAGTCCAGCATCGCGGGGCACGAAACGCGGAGTTGCACGCTGGTCGTTGAGATAAGGATGGGCAACCTTCCCAAGGGTACCCTTGCGTCCTTGCCGCTTCGGCCCATCCTTAGCGACTTTCGCTGGCCAGTTGTTCGAAAAACGTTCGCATGGGCATCCTGATGATACGGGTTGACCGTACACGCCTGTCGTTGAGAGTAGGTATTTTTGCCTTCCTACTTAGAGAGTCGAACGGAACCCCATGTGCTTCCAACGCCTTCCTCTCTCATGGTTCTGTCCACTCCTTCGGACCGATGGGGGGAGGTGACCCAGATCGTTGCGGACCTCCTGTTGTGGACGCCCCCCCCAAGAACGCAGGCACTTTTCTCAGGCCGAACGGTCCACGGGCTCTCTGGGGAGGCGGCGGCGGCGGGCCTTGGCCTCGCCGAGGAGAGGGCTTCGTGCCGCCCTCTTCTCGGCGAGGCCAAGGCCCGAAAGTCTGGACCAGCCGGGAACGCCTTGGTTCATCCTGGACCCTCTTGGCGCGTCTGGGGTCACCCTGAGAGAGAGAGAGAGAGAGAGAGAGAGAGAGAGAAAAAAAGAGAGAGAGAGAGAGAGAGAGAAAAAAAAAGAGAGAGAGAGAGACGCAGCACCGCCAACCCCATTCTCCAGCCAGGACCCCCACTCCCAACCTCTGGGGGCGGGGGTGGGTTGTGCTGTCCTCGAGGAGGAAAACAAGACAGGGGCGCAAAGATACCGGCGCTGCGCGCGTCTCCCCGCCTGGACCGCTGGACTGTCCTTCCCCAAGGGGGCGGCTCGAGGGCACGACGAGAACCGCGCGCCGCGCATCGCGGGGCGCGATGCGCGCGAAGCTCGGCGACCCAGAAGAGAAACGCGATCGAGGCCGCACAGTCGACCCGCATGGCAGGGACGGGTAACCTCCCCAGGGGGCAGCCTTGCCTCCCCGGCCCCTCCTCGGCCCCTCCTCGGCCGCCTCCGCTGGCCCACCTCGCTCGAGCAGGAGCGTTTTGGCATGGCCCCCCGAGGCCCTTGGCCACCCTCGCCGGCCGACCTCGCTCGAAAGAAGACACTTTTTAGCATGGCCCCTCCGAGGCCCTGGCATCCTCACCGCAGAAGGGGAGCGTCGAGGGGGGGGAGGCGGCGTGGCTGCGCGAGAACATTGTGCACGCTTCTCGATTTAATGCGTGCCATCCTTGCGCAGGGGCCGTGCTGGTCTTCTCTGTAGCGTTCCAACTGTCACGGATGATCCCCGAAGGAAGTCCGAAACGCACACGCTGGGGGGGGGGGGCGGGCATCCTCGCCGTGCAGTTCCAGTCGCATGCAAGCGCCTCAGCCTCTGCTGATATATATATTATATATATATATATATATATATATATATACAAGACTGCATTGGCGCTTCGCGCCATGCACCTTGGTTCTTAAAGCTCGGCATGCAGGATAACCAAATATAGCGATGATTCATTGTTGCCGTTTGCGCCATCGTCGTTATAGTAATGTTATGTATTATCCTTATACTTCCTCTCCTCTTACTCGTAATCTTCCTTGTCTGCGAGCCACTCCTTGTCCTCATCCCCAGTTTTTATTGCAGGGGCTCCTCTTTGGAGGTGTTCTTGGGCCCCTCTCAAAAGCTTTTTGGGGACCTCTGGGGGCCTCCTGGGCGCCTTTTGGGGGCCTCTGGGGGCTTCTTGCGGCCACCTTGCTACCAACCACGGTCTCCCTGAACGACCGGGTCACGATTTGGAGTGCTTCGGGAGGCGTCTTGGGGCCATCTGGGGCTGTCAGCGGGGCTCTCTTGGGGCCATCTTGCGGCCCTGTTGGACCATATTGGAGCTCTTTTGGACTGTCTGGAAGCCCTTTGACACCGTTGTGGGAGGATTTTTGGGGCCTCTTCGGCGGACTCGGACGCACGGAATACCGAAGAACCGAATGTCCAAAAATTCAATAAAAAACTAAAGGAAAGTGTTGTTTTTTTGCACTTGGAGGACCTCTTGGGGGTCTTCTTTGGGTCGTCTTCGGGCGTCTTGGGGCTGTCTGGGGCCGCGTGGGGCTCTCGCGGGGCCGTTTGGCCGCCCTCCTGACCGCTTTGGGCCCGCTGGCAAGGCCCGGCAGGGGCGTCCAGGAGGCCCGGAAGGCCCGGGGGACCCATTGCAAGGCGTCCAGGGGGCCCCAAAAGCGCCAGATCCCGGGGGTCCGATTTTCCGGGGGGGGGGGGGTTCCCACCTCCCCCATATATATATTATAATATATATATATATGTGATATAGTAATATATATATAGAGGGGAGGGGACGAGGCGGGGAGGACTGCGCGGTGGGCGGGAGCCAGCGAGGCACGGGACCAGCGGGGAGAGAGAGGGAGGGGAGTGTAGGGGGGGGGGGGGGAGGGAGGGGATGGAGGGGAAGGGTGGGGGGGGGAGGGAGGGGGTGGGGGGAGGGGGGGTGGGAGGAGGAGGGCGGGAGGGGAGGGAGGGAGGGAGGGCAGGGAGGGGGGCAGAACGAGCAGGAGGGGGAGAGGAAAGGGACGGGGAGCGAGACAGGGAGGTTTGATGGGGGAGAGGGAGCGTGGGAGGGACCGAGGAAGGGGAGGGAGGAGAACGAGGAGGATGGGGGACACAGGGGGGGGCGGGGCCAGGCACGGGCGTTGTCGCGAATATACTTCAGAAACGAGTTTCGGGATTCCGAGGCGGGAATTTATCCATATCCACCGCCTGGAGGGTCAGTGTTCGGAGCCTCGACGGGCGGTGGACATGGATATTTTCGGGCCCCCTGGGGCCGAAATATATCCATATCCACCGCCCGCTGGGGCACCAGGACGTCGGTTCCCAGGCGTTGGATATGGATAAAAATCTCCGCCTCGCAGGGATAGCATGGGTTTCTTTGGTCTGCGTTCGGGTTGAAGGCTCACGGCGGTCGCGAAGAAACCGCGGCTGGCAGGGTACCCTGACTTTCCTTACGCCGAGGTCTCTGCGCGAGCCGTGGATATAAGCCACCAGGCCCAGGCCCCCCGCGGTGACGCGAAAATAACCTCGCT